CTTCCCCATGACTTGGAGCTACTGTTTTTAAATAACACGTTTTTGTTATGTCTCTTTAAAAGCAACCCAGTGTTTTCACCTGTATTAAAGCTTCCCCGAGCACTCTCCCTGAAGCAGTACCTACCGAAGCAGCCCACTCACTCCGCCCTGCCTTTAAAAGCAAGTGGTGTCCCTCCTTTGCCCTTTCTCATCTTTGTTTACAGCCAGCCCAGCAGCTCAGTTAGGAATAACTGCTGGTATAAGAGAGGCTCACTAATGATGAGTTAAACAGAGAGAGGGAGACTTTCTCACAGCAAGAACATTGAAGCACCAGTCCAAGCTCTTCCTAACTTCCTGTTATGTCACCCTTAGCTTTTATTCTTCTTGATTGGTGCCTTATGGCTGCAACATGGATGCAACTCAAAACATGACATCCTTCCACCAGAGACCCAAGTATAAGAAAGGGGGAAGTTTAAAGACTCCCTCTTCATGAGGCTCTGGCTTTTCATTGAAAAGGAAGTTCCCGCCCTGCCAGTGTGACTCAGTGGTTGAGCATCACCCCATGAACCAGGAGGTCACGGTTCGATTCCTGGTCAGGGCCCATGGCTGGGTTACGAGCTTAATCCTCAGTATGGGGTGTGGGAGAGGCAGCCAATCAATGATTCTTTCTCATCATTTATACTTCTATCTCTCTCTCCCACTCCCTTTCTCTCTCTAAAAACAATAGAAACACATTTAAAATAATTTTTTTTAAAAAGAAAAGAAAAGGGAGTTCCCCAAAGTCTTCCCCTTACATCTCACTGGCCAGGACAAGGTCACATGCCTACTCCTAGATGACTCATTAGTTGATTACCATATAGAGTTAGACCTTTCTTGAGCCTGGGGAGGACCTACCTGCCCTGAGGTCAAGGGCTGGCTGCCCACCCCCTGACCCCATCAGGAAAAAGCTGTCAGAAAATGGCTGTCAGTTAAAGACCACAGTGCTGCCCCCCATTCATCTCCAAGTGTGATGGCAAAGTCCCCACAGGAGTAAGGCCGCCTCTAGAACAGCCTGCCTGGGCCTTGAGAGAGAAATAGCTATCTCTGCTTTTCACTCATGCTGAGGTCCCAGATAAGCAGTCTTTCTTTTAAACACAGCCATGGTCCTGCAACTATACAAATGAGCCACATTTATTGTTCTAGATGCTGGGATCTATGCCTTTTAAACCCATTCATTATAGAAGACCTGCTAAAACTTACATCATGCCTGAGAACATCAAGTAACTCATTCTACCTGCATGGTATTTTTATTCATAAATGCTAGTCTGTATTTGTCCCAGCCCCTTGAGAGGTCTGCGGGTGCCGATTCCTCACCCCTCTTCCTTGCTAGGGATCAAAAGCTATTAGAAAATACACTAAGAAGAACTGACAGGCAGATGAGACTCAAACAATCATTTATTATTTTTCCAGAGTTCTCTGGAAATGGCTAGATGGGGAAATTAAGTGGAGCCTCTTGCTGCCTATCCTAAGTCAGAAGCATGAGAGGAACTTCTGCTTCAGGCCACATTGAAGTCTTTAGTTCCAGATTAGCCTGCCGAATGGAAACAGCTACAAAAGGAGGAGGCAGTGGTTTTCAGATATTGTGCAACAGGTGGTATAAGACTAAAATCTTAGGGAGAAGAGATACTTATGAGGTGCCTCTGTGACCACTCAGATCTCAGCCAGGGGATGATTTCCTGGGTGCAGTGCAGGGAACTGGAGTCCATGGCAGTTCTGATGAACTAAGGAGGGAGGAATCTCCAGGCAGAGCACTGGAAAGAGTTATGGAGGAGTGAAGGCCAAAAGCCCACATGTGGATCCCCCACAGGCCTTTGGCTAAAGTCTGGGCTGCATATGTGCAGAGTAAGACTACCAAGGTTTTCCAGGCAGTGGTGCTGCAGGGCTGAGAGTAAAATGGAGATAACAGAAATCAGGCAGGGCTGGAGAACACTGCCATTACAGCCCAGCCAGAGTGAAGACAACTGTAACATTGTAGGCATCCAGCTAGGACATCAGAAATGACTCTACTTAGGAATAAGTACAAAGTCCTAGAGTAAGGCCTGCTGTAGACTCACCTAACAAAACCGCAAACCAGGCCCTAAAAAAATCCACAGGGGACACCAAACCTGGCGGCTGAATGCCATCAAGTTAGATGGGCTAGGGAACCACATTGGGCTTTCCACAGATCCATCTTAACAAAGTATAAAATCATGCCCACCAAATTCAAGGAAATAAACCTGCCTACTAGAAAATTAACACTAAAACAAAAATCATCCCACAGAACTCAGGATTTCTACCATACAGAATCTTCAATGTCCAGTGTAAAGTCAAAAATTGTTAGATCAGCAAAGAAACAGGAAAATGGTATCCAGAGTCAACAGGAAAACAGACAATAAAAACTGCCCTTAGGTAACCCCAATATTGGACTTGGCAGATAATTTAAAACAGCCATATTCAGTTTAATTCAAGGAATTGAAACAAAAAGATGGTTTGAATGAGTTAACATATGGGAGATCTCATGAAATAAAAACTATAAAAAGAGAAAATAAAAATTCTAAAAATGAAAAATCAAACAGCTGAAATTTAAAAATCCATTGGATGGGATGGAAAGCAGAATGAAGATGAAAAAAGTGAGTGAACTTGAAGATAGGTAAACTATCAAATAGGAAATTACCAAATCTGAGTATCAAAGAGATCGAAGCAAAATTAACCAGAGCCTCAGAGCTTCCCAGAACAACATGAAATGATGCAACATATGTGTAATTGGAGTCTCAGGAAAAGAAAGTGAAAACATATCGAAAAATCATTTGAAGAAATAATGGCCAAAAATGTCCCAACTTTCATCAAAAATATTTACTTATGAGCTTAGAGAATCCCAACCAGGATAAATAAAAAGAAAATCACACCTGGGTACACTGTAGACAAAGTGCTAAAAACCAGGATAAAGAGAAAATGTTGAAAGTAGCTAAAGGGGAAAAAAAAGACATTAAACACAGGGAAGCAAAGATATAACGATGATATGTGAGAAAGATACAGAAGCATCTTGAAATAAACTGAAGAAGAGTTAGCACTTTTCAAAAGAGGTGTATTTCCTAATTCAGTTTTCTGGGCTAAATCCTTAGGTTAATTCCAGATTTAGCACTCTGACCTCTATTTCTGTCTCTAGAAAGTAAACATAAGAACACGAAGATTTTGTAGTTTTGTCACTCAGAGATAAGATGAATTTGGCTATGAATTCCTTAGTTGCTTCTCGATTAAATCTAGATAGAGAAATATAACAAGTGGGGTGGGGAAACAGAATGGAAGGTAGAGGGGAAAGTATGAAGTAACGGGAGTCAATGTTTTAAGTGACTCTAGCATCTTACAAATTAAGTCATTCACACAAAAAAGAAATCATCCCATATAAAAAAATAAAATTGATTATGTCCCAAAGAAATATCACATAAAAACACTTAAGAAAAACACTATCTGCTATTTATAGTCTCATATTTAGCATTATGAAATCTAAAATGAGAGAAAAGGAAAAGCATTATGAGAAAAGTAAAAAGAAAAAAATTTATGAAATCCAAAAGGGTGAAATTCCATCAAAACCTAGAGTTAAAAAACAGTAAGACATATTTTATGAACATAAGTAGATATTAGATATAAATATATAATGTTTAAATCATATAACTTCCTCACTTTGAATATATATTTAAACACACTTGGGGAAAATGCTGAACTCTGAAGACTTTTCCCCCTTTTGTTGTTGTAAGGGGGGGGGGAAATTCATTGGTTGTTGTTTTTTTTTTACCGTTTTAGATTTTTACTATCCAACATCATTAAACATTAAGAGATACAAAAGCAAATACAAACCAATTTAATATAAAATTCCTTGTCCCAGAGAAACATAAAGCACAGTGGGTTTAACAATCTAGTAAAACTTCTGTAAGGATGTCACTTTGCCTCAAACCAGTTTCTCAACAGTGACACTGTTGACATTTGGGGACAGATAATTCTTTATTGGGAGGGGCTATCCTATGCATTTTGGAATATTTAGCAGCATCGTTGGTCTCCCATGTCCCCGACCCAGTTGTGCCAACCAAAAATTTGTCCAGACATTGCCAAATGTCCTATAGGAGCAAAATTGCTCCTGGTTGAGAAGCACTGCCACAAACAGGTTTCTTCTCCCTAACTTATTTAAAAACAAAAACAAAAAATGCTTGGCTTATAATCTACACTGAAAGCAACAATGTCTTTCTAATAAATAACTGATGTTAATTTGTTTTTAATTCCCTTCATTCAGTGAACAAGTTCTCCAAGTGTGGGGAATGTTAGATTTCATCATCAAGTTTGATTTAGATTTTCTTTATGGTTGGTTAGTAAGTTTTGACCATTGCTTTCAAATAAAGCGGACTTTATATTTTCTGGGATATGTTATTTATCATCCATCTACCTATGAATACAAATTAGCTAAAGAGAGCTGGGACACTTTTATTAAAACAAATAGCAACCGATTTCTAAGTCATATGTTAGAAGAATATGATACTTTCTTCACCTAATTGATCTAGGACACATCAAAGAACTCTGAAATTATACTTTAGACTGCAAGTTGTTCTTAATGAAATTTAACCTTCAGAAAACACAGAACATTTTTCAAATCAGTTATCTAAATCTAGATTTTTTTTCATCAGTTTAAAAATATTCATAAATGCTAATAGCCACCTCTTTCCAAAGTGGGACTACTGATCAAGGGCAACATGAAGTTTTAAAAAGAAGATACTGTAAAACCTGCAGGTTTTGGCATTTAATGAGGGTAGAGATGTAACCACAGAATTCATATCAGAAAAGGTATTTATAATTGCTATCTCGCTCCCTCCCAAAGAGGAAGAAAGAATTCCCAGAATCTTGCTGTTTTTATTTATGTATGTGAACTTTTTTTACAGGAGAAAATACAGAATAGCATGATGTTGCAGTAAAAGGTATGCTCCAAGTCACAAGCAGGTCTACTGCCTTGGACTCACCTATGTGATAGAGTCCAATCCAGTCACTCGGGTCCACCTCTTCTTTAATGTCCCAGAAGATGATGAGGTTCTGGGCTCGCCCCAGTGTGTACTCGTACATGCTGGCCGTCAAGCTGGAGCGGCTCTCGGAAGTCACCAGGTCCGTGTCACTGTTGGCCCGCTGCAGGGTCATGTTCTCCGGCATGGAGCTCTGGGCGGCGAGGCTCTGGAGGTTCTCGGGGCTCAGCGTGTACCGCATCTGGGGATTTCGCCGTCGCACGAAGAGCAGGTGCTCCCGGGCGGAGCTGGCCATCCCGTCTGCCTCTCGGAGGTCGGCTCGCTACGAAGCTGCAAGGCAGGCAAGCAAAAGCATTAGTGCTGCCATCTGAGGAATTAGCTTTAAGCTGCCCAGGCATACAGCCTTGATTTAAAGCCTGACCGTGCAATAATCTTCTACTGTCAAAATTAAACCTATTATTCTACTGTCAACTGATGATGTCAGAAGCAAGCGAGGTCAGCTGATGGCAAAGGCCATGACATGCCTGTGGCCCTCGATTTCACTCGGCACAGCTTGCTCTGAGCAAGTGAGGAAGAAGAGGATTTCTCGGCCCTTCCTTTTAGGGCTATCCTTTCTCCTTCAGAAATGGCATCCTCTTTTTCTTCACCCCACACACATCATTTTTTGCTGCTGCTATTAAATTTTAAAATAGCAAGACAGAAAATTTTGACATGTGAGAAACAGGTGAAATGCACCATTGAGGACAAGTTCACTTGCTCAGTTTCCTTCGCATAGGAATGTAACTCACTAAAGTCTTTTTCAGGAGCTCCTCATTTAACTACAGTGGCTGTCACAGTTAAAACTACAACACCCAGGTACTCCCTAGCCTTCCATTCCCTATCCTTCCTTTCTTGCTTTTTTCTCTCAATAGCAATTATTATCATCTGATGTTCCATATAGTAGCACGTACTTATTTATTTGGTTATTGTGCTTTCCCCACAAGAATATTAACTTGGGGAAGGATAGTCTCTTCAATAAAGGGTGATGGGGAAACAGAGCAGCCACATGCAAAGAATGAAACTGGACCGATATCTTACACCATACACAAAAAACAACTGAAAACAAATTAAAAGCTTGAATACAGAACTGAAACCATAAAATTCCTATCAGAAAACATAAGGCAGTAAGCTACTTGACATCAGTTTTGGCAGTGACATTTTGGATTTGACACCAAAAACAAAAGCAACTAAAGCAAAAATAAACAAGTGGGACTGTATCAAACTAAAAAGCCTCTGTACAGCAAAGGAAACCATTATCACAATGAAAAGACAACTACAGAATGGGAGGAAATATTTGCAAATCATGTACCTAATAAGGGGTTAATATCCAAAATATATATATTTAAAATCATATGAATCTGGTGCCAGGTGGGTACTGGAAATATTGGGGGAACACTTTGTAAAGTATATGATTGTCTAACTACTATGCTATACACCTGAAACTAATACAAAATAACATTGAATGTAGACTGTAAATGAAAAATAACATTTTTTTAAATCATACAACTTAACAGTAAAAAAAAAAAATCAATTTTAAAATAGGCAGAGGAACTGAATATACATTTCTCAAAAAAAAAAAAATACAAATAGTCAATGGGTATATGAAAAGGTGCTCAAACATCACTAATTATCAGGGAAATGCAAATCAAAACCACAATAAAAATAAAACACCCAACGAGATATCACCTCATACCTGTTAGTATGGTTATCATCAAGAAAACAAGAGATACCGTGCTGGTGAGGATGTGGAGAAAAGGGAACCATCATGTGCCATTGGTGGGAATGTAAATTGATATAGCCACTATGGAAAACAGTACAGAGGATCCTCAAAAAATTAAAAATAGAACTATTCTATGATTCAGCAATTCCACTTCTAGGTATTTATCCAAAGGAAATGAAAACTGTATCAAAGAGCTACCTGTGTCCCATGTTCATTGCAGCATTATTAACAATAGTCAAGACATGGAAACAACCTAAGTGTCCATCAACAAATGAACGGATGAAGATGTGGCATAAAATATTCATAAAATATTATGAAGCCTAGAGAAAGAAGGAAGTCCTGCTATTTGTGACAACATGGATGGAACTTGGGGCATTACGCTAAGCGAAATAAGCCAGAGAAAGACAAATAGTGTATTATCACATTTATATATGGAATCTTAAAAAAAAAAAAAAAAAAGGAAAAAAAAAGGAAAAATTGCCAGAGAAAGACCTTGATGAGATGGAGTTAAGCATGTTATAAGAATTAGAGTTCAGAATAATGGTTATGAAGATGCTCAAGGAAATTAACGGGAACAACAAGATACTTAATGGTAAGGNGTTGCCTGGAGCTGGGGCATGGGGGGAATGGGTAAAGGTTGGTAAAAGGGTACAAAATGTTATCTATATGATGAATAAGGCCTGAGGAGCTAATGTAAAACATGGTGACTATATTTGATAACACTGTATTATAAAATTGAAATTTGCTAAAAGAGTAAGTAGGACTTAAATGTTCTCACCAAATAAAAACATGCTCATTAACGAGAGGGTGGAAATTCTTTAACAATGTACACATGCATATTACCACAATGTACATTTTAAATACCTTACAATGTTATTTATCCATTACACATCAATAAAGCTGAAAGAAAAAAAGAATGTAAGCTGCACAGAGGCAGAGAGTTTCATCTGTTTTGTTCACTATTTTATCCCCAGTGTCTACAACAGTGCCTGGTACATGGTAAGTATCGATAAATATTTGAATGAACACGTGAATGAACAGCGTGCATCTTTCTCCTAGGGACTCTTTAAGGTCCCAGGAGAATAACTGACACCTTGAGTCTCTTTTCTGGGCCTGTCCTTAACCATCCCTGACTTACTGGCGGTTCAATACTATTTCTACTATCTGGACCCACGATAACCTATTTCCTTCAGCTCCCACTTGGCCTCCATCTAAAGGAACAGGGCTTTTCCTGTTGTAATTTAGATACAGTTCCTTGTTGGCTCACTGTGAGTCTAGTCCTAAAATATCTATTTTCTTCCACACTGCCCAACTGTGAAAAAAGGTTCTTTCCAAGACCTCTGTACTTTATTCACTCAAGCACATTTGACGCTCTCACTGCCAGTGCCTTTTCTGTCTGCCCATGGATTCATGCTACCTTGCTCAGATGCCTCTACTGGCTCCATACAGAATGAACTGGTTCTACTCTACCCCTTTCAGAACTACATAATTCACCAATATATGGATTTAACATTTTCTCTGTATCTCTAGTATGTGCTGGTCTCTCCAATACACTTTTTAAAGGCTATTCTTACAAAGGTGCCCTGGAAAATCAGCACATAAGCTCCCATTAAAAAAACACTCAAAAAAACCAACAAACGAATCTTGGGTACGATAGTTACATTACAATTAATAACCTCAAATACTGAGTAAGAAGGAAGGGTTCCCTAATTTCTCCCATCCCCCACCCATTTCACAAATACTTTAAGGGGACATTGTGCCATTCAGAGGGTCGTAGTACTTGCAAATGCATTCATTCAATTAATTTCTGTCATAAACTGATCTCATATTTTTAGCATTATCCCTTGAATTGAAATAACTTGGACCGGTGGGCAAGATATACTATATAAAACAGACAAAAATAAAATGAACAGGTAAACTGATACTTATCTTTGTAAATTTAGCCCTTGTTTCCCTTATATGGTATATGGTAACTCTGACATCACAATATAATTCATAATTGTTAAACAACTGAAAATCCATGAAGCCAAAAATACAGGTCAACTTCTAATCTGACAGTTTCATGAAATTTTCATTTTAGTGGATTTCGACAGGCCATTCATTGTCTATAAACCCAGGGTGAGTCAAGCACCACATCAGCTTCAGCAGGCACTATAAATAATTAATGCCTAACACACTGCAGTCAAATAGAAAATGCAGGCTGTATATAACTAAACTACTTCCCTGAAAGAAATAGGCCAGAACCGTAATTGCTTAAAGCCACAACAGAACTACTAAAAATTACTCTGCTTTAGAAGAAAGGGAAAAAACATATATACATGCCAAAACTGTTGTTTCTAAATGACCTCAATTTAATCAGAGAAACAGGTTAGCACAGTGCATAAGAGAGCAAGTTCCAAAGCCTGATTTCTGGGTTTCAGTCATGTCTCTACTATCGAATCCCTCTGTGATCTTGGACAATTTATTTTAACTTTCTGTGCCTCCATTTTCCCACCTGTAAACTAGAGACATCATAACGCCTTTCTCATAGGATTTTGGAGAGAGCTAAATTAATTAGTTCAGGTAAAGCATTTAGAACAGTGCCTGGCATATATATAGTAAGGGCTCGATCAAGTTAACTACTAATATTATATGACTATATTCTAGTTCAATTGTATCAAGTAGAATGGGTTTTAATACTCCCCTGATTCCCCCCACTTGTTGGGAGAGTAGGCTGTCAGCATCCTCAGTTATTCAAAGCACAGCCCCAAAACCAGAAAAAGAAGCCTTGCAGGCACTGAGGAACAGCTATCCTGAAGCCCAAGCCTTAACCCCATAACCCTGACTAGGGCCATTCTCTGGTCCTCCAGCCAGAGATAAAGGTTGAAATTCTACTTTCTCACCATTATTGGGTTCATTCATTCATTCACTTATTCATTCAACAAATTTTATTGAGCACCTCCCATTTGAAAGGCATTAAGGATACAACAGGGCAAAAGACAAAGCCCATCCCCTTGTGAAGCCTGTAGTTTTACAAGAAGATATACATAGTAGACAGGCCAAGCAATGAATAAATATTTACATATTTAATATATTTATTTTTAGTAGGAAAGCAAAAATGAGTCTGAATTTGCTAGTTGAATTGAACCCTGCAAAAATGTATGAAGCATCTACTGGTATATGTCTAGCATAAAGCTACAAAGCATAGTAAATAGTAAAATGAGTAAGGTCTTCTTTCAAATTCTTTCTTTTCTTTTCCTAAAGCATAAAACAAGGCCCATATGCTCCAGGTACTTTGACTTTGTGAGGAGAAGACGAAATATTCATCTATGAAAGAATTCAATCTGGTATCAATGACACTCATGCATATGTACAATCTGTCCCCACAAATATGTGATGGAGATAATAAATGCTTGTGGGCAACAGGAAATGATAGTAATATAATATTTATAAATTGTTTTTTGTTTTCCAAAGCACTTTCACATCTATTAGCTCAAATAAGATCCCAGAATATTGTGAATGAAATTTGACACATTCCATCATCTCTTTTTTCAGATGAGGAAACTGAGGGTCTGTGAGACAAAAGGTTGGC